AAGTTGTTTACTGAAATTCTTTCTCCAATTCCCTAACTTCTCTCCATTCTCCAACTCTATATACAAATTTGGAGAACTCCTTTACGGTTTTCTCCAAATGGGAGAATTGGAGAAAAGCACGGGTGAATAGTGCTACTTGCTTGGATGTTAGCTGTTCGATTCCTGCTATGTACAATTACTTTTTGCTTTCCACAGCTTCTTTCTTCTCCCTTCAGCGCAACTACTTTTGCTATTCAAAGCTTCTTTCTTTTCCCTTCTTTTGCGCACAATTATTATTTTGCCCACATAATAATAATAATAATAATAATAATAATAATAATAATAATAATAATAATAATAATAATAATTATTATTATTATTATTATTATTATTATTATTATTATTATTATAATAATTATTATTATTATTAACATGTTCACATATTATTATTATTATTATAAAATTATTTTTTTTAGAATAATTATAAAATTATTTTGTATTATTGTATTGAACTTTTTAGTATTATTATTAGTGTATTAAAATTTACATTTAGTATTAGTGTATTGAACTATTTTATATGATGAAACAAATTATAAAATTATTTTAAAGAAAACCATATTATTTAGAGAAATGAAAACTGGAGGAATGGAGAAATGGAAAACTGGAGAAATGGAGAAGGAAAATTGCAAAAATGGAGAAATGGAAAACTGGAAATGGAAAAACGGAGAAATGAAGTAAACGACCCCTTATTTATTTTGAAAAAGCTTGAAAGTCTATTCACCCCCCCCCCCCCCTCTAGACTTTCATCACCCTATCGGGACCAACAATTGGTATCAGAGCGGTTGTCTATTTGAGTCAACTTTGACTGCTAGACAGATCTCGAAAAATCAAGATGATGAAAAGAGATATGACTCTTGCCCAAAATCTACTGTTTTCCTTAGAAAAAATTGATGATTGGAAAATTCGCATGCAGGTACACCTATCCGCGTTACATGATGAAATGTGGGAAGTTGTTACGAGTGGTCCTATTGAGATTTTACAAGTCAGCACTTCGTCCGTACAAACAAGTGACACTCCACAATACATTCCAAAACCGAAAGAGGAATGGTCTCGTGAAGATAAAACTAGAAATAACTTGGACAATATTGCCAAGGATATTTTGTTTAAATCTATCGATGACACGATATTCCCAAAAGTTCGAAAATGTCAATCCGCGAAGGAAGTTTGGGAAACGCTCATTCAAATTGGTGAAGGAGACGAGCAAGAAAAGGATAATAAGCTCACCATAGCATTAAAGAAATTTGAGGATTTCAAAATGCTAAACGGCGAGAATATTACCGACATGAAAACAACATTTGCCAAAATCTTAGGAGAGATTAATGATCTTGGAAAAGATATTAATCAAAAAGAAATCTCACTCAAAATTCTACGTGGTCTACCATCTACATGGGACATGAAGGTCACGGTCATGAGAGATCATAGGGATCTAAAAACCCTATCGACCGATAAGCTCTTTAGTGATCTAAAAGCTTATGAATTTGAAATGAAATCAAGATTAGAGGAAGATCATGAAGAAAAAAAATAATGCGCTTGTAGCCGAGCAACCATCAACTTCAAGGTTAGTACAAAATGTTGAATTATTGCCTAATGATCAATTTGCTCTCTTTGTCAAGAAATTTAGGAAATTCATGAAGAGAAACAACTACAAGAAAAATCCACAAGGAAAATCGTGGAATGCAACAAAGAATTCGAAGAAAGAAATGGTTGAGGAAGAATCGAATTTGTGTTACAATTGTAGAAAGCCTAGACACTTTGCAGCTAGTTGTCCACACCCCAAGGTAAGTAAAAGTCAATACACAAATATTTCTAACTCTCAACAGGAAGAATTCAAGCCCAAAGATAAAAGATTCACAAAGGAGAGAAGAAAAGCACTTATTAGTGATCCACTTGAAATAAGTGAGTCAGATGAATCTTCAAGTGATGAAAGTGACACCTCAAAGGATGACAATGCAATGTTTTGCATGAGCATCTCCAACAACACACCCTACGAGGACATGTGTCTTATGGCAAATGGAAATGAAGAAAATGAGGTAACATCTAATTCTTATGACTCTGTAAATTCTTCATTTTCTAGAGAGTCCTTCTTTCACTTAATGGAAGAATGTCAAACCGTAATGGACACTCACTCTCAACTCAAAGAGCGCAATAATCATCTGATTCTTGAAAAAGATCAATTAAATGAAAAATTGCAAAATGCTCCACTTGAAGTGAAAGACTTGAAAGATAAAATTATTTGTCTTCATGAAGAGTGTAAATCAATGGAAGTGAGAGAACACAACCTTAGAGAGGTTATAGCAACGTTTACACATTCATCCAAAATAATGGACAAAATGGTAAATATGCAAAAACCCTCAAGCGATAAACCGGACTTGGTTATGATCCATCGTGTTCTCAAGCCTCCGAGAAATTGACCAATTCTACTACTACTTTAAATAATAAAGTCCAAGTAGTAAAATTTGTAAAAGGTCAAGAAAACACAGTGAGACAAGGAATTGGTTACCAAACTAATGTCAAAATTAATGCTGTTAGGCCGAAGCCTCAAAGAAACAAAATGTCGCCTAAACAGTATACAAAAAGACAAAAGTTTGTTCCTAAATGGAAATACACCAATGAGTCTAGTGCACAAAGCACTCATAGGAGAATGGGAAGGAATCCAAAAATTGAGGCAGGGAGATCTTATCCCTCCAAACAAGATTGGTTTGGTAATATTAAACCATGGACTAAGTCCAGATTTAATGCCTATCATAGGCTCAAACAATCTACCTCCCACGTGCCAAAAAATCGAGTCAATTTTCAAAAACTGGCACAAAAATTGTTTTCAAAAATTAAATATGATTATAATGTGTTTAATGGTTACCAATCACCTAGACTTAGATCAGTGAGTACAAGGTGGATTTGGGTACCAAAATTGACTAACACCCAAGGACCCAAGTCAAGTTGGGTACCTAAAAATGTGTAATTTATTTGCAGGAAGTTTGGTACTTCGATAGTGGATGCTCTAGACACATGACTGGAAATAAATCTAGTCTTGTGAATCTTAAAAATATCGAAGGACCAAAAGTCGTATTCGGCGGAAATGAACGATACGGCATAACAAAAGGAATTGGTACAATATTTCGAAATGATTTGAAAATCGAAGATGTATCCTTTGTTGAAGGTCTAAAATTCAACTTGTTAAGTACAAGTCAGTTTTGTGGCAAAGGATATCTAGTAGAGTTCTTCAAAGATAAATGCCAAGTGAAGAATAATTCCTCGGGAGAAGTTGTGCTCGAAGGAATAAGGAAGAAAAATATGTATGTTGTGGATTGGAACACAACGAAAGAATCAGTGTGCCTATTAGCAAACAACTCACACGCAACAAGCTGGGAATGGCATAAGAAGTTGAATCATCTAAACTTCAAGACTATCAACAAGCTAGCAAGAAACAAACTCGTTGAAGGTCTACCTGACATTGTCTACAAGAAAGATCAAATATGTGATGCTTGCCAAAGAGGAAAGCAAATCAAGTCATCTTTCATATCCAAAGCTCAAGAATCTATAACAAGACCGCTAAGTCTACTACACATGGATCTATTCGGTCCAGTACACCCAGTAAGTCTAAGTGGTAAGAAATATACACTAGTTGTTGTTGATGATTTTTCCAGGTACACATGGACGATATTTCTCAAGAAGAAAAATGAAGTGTAGCAAAAGTTGCCAGAATTGCTCAAGCTACTACAAAATGAGAAAGACTTGAAAATTGCAAAAATCCGAACTGATCGTGGAACTGAGTTCTTGAATCAAGTAATTGAAGCCTACTGCAATTCTCAAGGAATTCTACATCAATTATATGTCGCACGTACACCTCAACAAAATGGTGTAGCCGAAAGAAGAAATAGAACGCTAAAAGAAGCCGCACGAGTGATGATTACATCAGCCGAGCTACCTAAGAGATATTGGGCTGAAGCAATCAACACCGCTTGCTATACGCAAAATCGAAGCTTGATACACAAGTCTTACAATAAGACTCCGTACGAATTATGGAAAGGGAGAAAACCTAAACTCAACTATTTCATACTTTTGGCATCAAATGTTTTATTCTTAATAATGGTAAAACATATCTAAAGACTTTTGATGAGCGTGCAGATGAAGGAATATTTTTGGGATATTCATCTACCAGCAAAGCATTCAGAGTATTGAACAAGAAATCAATGGTGGTAGAAGAATCAATTCATGTTACATTTGATGAAGCTCATAAGAAGGAAACCCAGAGCAATAAAAATGATCAGGAAAGTTGTCAAGTTGAAAAGTCATTTAATGATACTGACATATCTTTTAAAGATCAAATTGTACAGGGTATGGAGCAATTGGACATTGATTGCAATAGTGAAGGACACGTGGAAGCTAATGAAGATTCACACGTGGAAAATCAAAATTCTCAAGTTGGAGAACAATCTGATGAGCTAAATGTGCCTACCTCCAACTTACCTACTGAGCAAGGGAACGTGGAAAGCCCATGCAACCTACAACCTGACTTGAGATGGCTCAAAAATCACCCTCCAGAGCTAGTGATCGGAGATCCACGAGAAGGAGTAAAAACAAGGTCCTCAAATATACATACTTTATTTTCTTGGTTTCTTTCTCCGGTGGAGCCCACAAGCATTGAAGAAGCTCTAAGTGATCCAGATTGGATTAATGCAATGCAAGAAGAGCTTGATCAATTTAAAAGAAGTGACGTATGGGAATTAGTTCCAAGACCTGAAAATTACAATGTAATTGGAACAAAATGGGTCTTTCGGAAGAAGGCAAATGAGGATGGAATTGTCATTCAAAACAAAGCACGATTAGTGGCAAAAGGATATTCACAAGAAGAAGGCATAGACTTCGATGAAACATTTGCACCTGTTGCAAGACTAGAAGCCATCAGAATATTTCTAGCTTATGCTGCGTACAAGAATTTCACTGTCTATCAAATGGACGTGAAAAGTGCATTTCTAAATGGCTTACTTGAAGAAGAAGTCTACGTTGAACAACCACCCGGTTTCGAGGTAAAAGGTGATATTAATAAGGTCTACAGATTAAAGAAGGAGTTATATGGGTTAAAACAAGCACCGAGAGCTTGGTATGACACCCTATCAACGTTCCTAATTAAATGTGGTTTCACAAAAGGCCGTGTTGATAAAACCTTATTTAGAATTCAAGAAACTGATCACATTTTATTGGTACAAATTTATGTCGATGATATTATCTTTGGTAGTACTAATAAAACTTTATGTGAGAAATTTTCCAAGCTAATGCAGAATAAGTTCGAGATGAGCAAGATGGGAGAGTTGAATTACTTTCTTGGCTTACAAGTAAAGCAACTCAACGAAGGAATATTCATCAATCAGGCCAAATACATGAAAGATCTCATAAAGAAATTCGGTCAAGATGGAAAATCCTCAATCAAGATCCCGATGAGCACATCTTTAAGATTGGATAAAGATGATGAAGGCAAGGACGTTGACGAAACAAAATATCGAGGAATGATTGGATCATTACTATATCTCACTGCAAGTCGACCAGATATATCTTATTCAGTGGGAGTATGTGCTAGGTTCCAATCAAAGCCAAAAGAAAGTCATTTTCTTGCTACAAAGAAAATCATCCGATACCTAAAAGGAACAGTCAATGTGGGATTATGGTATCCCAAAGAAGGTAATTTTACACTAACTGGTTTCTCAAATGCAGAATTTGCAGGATGTAAAATCGATCGAAAAAGTACCTCAGGGGCATGCCAGTTCTTAGGGGGAAGATTGGTATCATGGTTTAGCAAGAAGCAAAACTCCATAGCTACAAGCACAGCCGAAGCTGAATATATAGCTACTGGGAGTTGTTGTGCGCAAATTCTTTGGATGAAACAACAACTGAAAGATTATGGCGTGAACTGTGAAAATGTCAACATATTGTGTGACAATACAAGTGCCATAGCCATAACACACAATCCCGTGTTACATTCAAGAACAAAACACATTGATGTGAGACATCATTTTATCCGGGATCATGTCGAAAAGAAGGAATTGAAAATAGAATACATCCTGACCGAAGATCAAATAGCTGATATTCTCACAAAGCCTCTGTGTGAATCAAGATTTTCTAAATTAAGACACGAGGTGGGCATGATTGAATTGAGCTAAGTTTCTAAACCCTATTTAAATTAAAAGCTCAATTTTTCATCTGAAAAATTCGTTACTTTATCTGATTTAATTAGTTTCGTGCCTATGTGTCACACATGCAAATATGTCACATCTTATCATTTAAGTCTACATATCTCAATTAAATATTGAAAAAGCACATATTGCATGCATGTCTCTCTAACCGTGTATCTATTTACTTATATGCACAAATAAATTTATTTAGATCTACAAAATCTTACCATTTAAGAGTTGACAAGATGGTATGATGATGAGTTTATCTTAAATGAGAACATCTTTTTATGGTAGTTGCACATAATAAATGGTCTAAAAAGAATCAATTTCTTTTTCTTTCTTCCAACTACTTAAAACGTGTATATATGTTGTAACACCCCGTGTTACGGTCTTCAATCCCAGATTAATTATTTAATTAATCCCGTTAATAATAATTAAATATGATTTAATTCGGTTAGGTTTCGTTTAATTAATTAATAAGGTCCACCATGAACCGTAGACCCTTGCCTAAATTAGAGTTTTAAGCCTATTAGGAATAAAGAAAGTAAACCCTTTACTATTCAGGTACTAATTAGGAATCCTAGACCTAGTTATCTATTAGGAATAAAGGAAGTAGGCCTTTTACTATTCAGACTACGATTAGGATTCCCTTTAATTAATTAATATGGTCCACTATGGACCATGGACCCTTATCCCTAAAATAAGCCCTTAGTCCTATAAGGAATAGAATTAGTAAACCCATACCATTCAGACCCTAGTTAGGAGTCTTAAATATATAAATAGGGATATAGGAGGCACCTAGATCTTTCACCACCATAATCTCTCACCACACAAGAAGTTCCAAGAATCCCCTTAGGAGAAATCAAGAAAGAAGAAAGCTTAAAGAAAGACCCTTCATAGCCAAGGAATTAATTAAGGCTAAGAGGTAACCCATGTCTCAACAAAACCTACTTTCATAGCTATGATTCCCCTCCTAGGATTTCCCCATATTATTGTGTATTGGTGATTTATGATATTATTATTGATGATTGATGGGATAATTCCATGGGTGACCTTGATAATGAAAGGTTCTTGATAATTATGGTGTTCTTGATGATTATATGACGTTCTTGATGATTATATGATGTTCTCGATGATTGTAGGATGTTCTTGATGTTTATATGATATTCTTACCGAATCTTGATATTGGAAGATGAATTGTGTCCTTGTTGATTTAAAAACGATTAGAACCCTAGGTTGTATCGTATGGAATTATTCTTGGTATATTGGGTGGGAATTCGCATGATTGGGTGTTGATTACGTTTAGAAAAGCATGATAGGTTATGTGTCGTATGTTTCTTGATTTTGATCCGTTAATTGTCTACGTGTGTTATCAATTGCATTTGAAAGTGCCTAAGCATGGTTTCGGGTTCCACAAAGGTTCCCGGGGCGTTTTTGGTGAAAAAGGGTCAGTGGGGGGTAGGTGGGGGTAGGGGACCCGCCACCTACCCGCGGCCTTCTTGGGCAACGCCGGCAGCGGGCAGCTGCCCGCCAGGCACCCGCTGCCCGGTTTTGCTACCGGCGGGTGATCCCTCACCCACCGGCTACCCGCTGGTTTGGACCCCACTTTGGAATTTTGGCTTCCCCGTTTGATGTTCCCCCGACCCCCGTGGTGTCCCAACGGACTCCGTCTATCGTGCCTATGTCTAGTTTGATATTTCGAGTACCGTTCGTGGGTTGTATGAGTCTTATATATTGCATGCTAGTTGAATTGGTATCCCGTTGACCTAGGTGAAAGGAGTATGAACCCCTTAGGATTATTCTTAGTATGTGAAGGATCACGCATAGGTTTTGTTATACGATTCCTCCCCCTTCCCAATGTGCTAATGTGGGTTGCATGCGCTTGCTATGTGTTATGTGTGCATGATACCCCAATTCGGTTGCGATCGGATTGGTTATTCCTGAGCTGCGGTTCAGAAGCTGGCTGCGGTCAGACTTACACTCTTGGGTTGCGGTCCACCGTTTGGTTGCGATCAAACGTTTCTACATGAGCTGCGGTTCATATTTCCTGGCTGCGGTCAGATGACATACTCTTGGGCTGCGGTCCACTGTTTGGTTGCGATCAAACTATGATGAGCTGCGGTTCATCGGTCGGTTGCGATCGACCCCTCCGTGTTGCGATACGGGGCAGGGTGTTGCAGGGCCGTGTCAGAGCTATATGCGCTGACCCTCATGTATGGGCATGCGATTGGTCCTGTGGCGCCAACAAAGTGTGCTATGTGATGAGATATGGAGGAGTTGTTGTTATGAGTGCCTTGGGGATGTGACTATGGGATTCATATTAGGAATCGTATATGTTAGGTTATGATTATTAATTGTGTTTATCTTATCTGTCTTGCCTGTTGTAAACTGTATATGCTTGGTATAACTGCTGTCTGTGCTTAGCCCTATCTGTGGAGTCTATCCCTGTTTTAAAAGCTAGAGTTCGTAGGATATATCTTCATGTTCAAAATGGTTTTCGTATATCTATATATATATATATCTATATGTATTGTATTTCAACGCGTTGGAGTTGGTTACCAGCATCTCTCGCTGAACAGATATATTTGGCTTTCAAGCACAGACGAATAGATCACTGGAGCGCGCTAGAAGCTTGGGGCATAGCTTAGATAGTTTTCCCTTTCGGCCTGCGTGCCATGATTTAGTATTGATACTGATTGAGGTTTTAGAATTTAGCCTGTGCACCCGAGTTCTCTAGCTCGGGTGTGGCACAGCACCCCGTACTCTTTGTATCGTATTTTGGGATTTAATGAGATCCTATCTTTATTATATAAGTTTTAAAAGTCTTGAAAATCTGGGGTGTTACAGTTGGTATCAGAGCCTAAGTTTGACCCTAGGATAAGACTCTTAAGACCGGACTTTAGGACATTAGGCTTGAACTCTAGGTACCTAGGAACATAGGATTCAGGAATCTTAGGACGCGCGGTGAGATTGTGAAACCTACACGTAACCTCCGTCCTCCCCTCACCTTATCCCTCTCTAACTTAAAATAACTTCCCCCTACGCTTACCACACCAAGGTAAGGGTGCAGCACACTGACTCATCGATACAATAAATATTGACCCTGAAAACCAGCAGCATGGCGCCCAGAAGAAGACAGTCAAGGATCCCACACTCCTCGAAGAATGAACCCGAACCTTCAACAAAGTCCTCAGGTTAGTGGAATACCCAGAGGAACGCCGCGTAGGGATAGCCTCATTCCACTTCAAGACACGAGGCTGATCTTTGATAAATCTACGAAGAACCCACTTATGGGCAACAACCAGGGGTTCAACTAGGAGTGCCTAGGGGCACGGCTACCGGGACGATTCCACCCCGCACCTGTAAGGGCAACCATGTACGAGGAAAATCCTCCACCTAAAACAAGGGATGACCACCATCAGGGAATACCACAAACGATCCCTCCAGCTGGCTCGTTTCGCGCCTGAATTAGATCCTACAGAGACAACCAAGATAAAGAAGTCTGTGACAGACCACAACTACGAAACCCAGAAGGCCCTAATTGTAAGCAAACCCCGCACACCCAACGAAGCCTACACCAGTAATGCCAACTTCTACCAAACGGGGAATTTAAGGACAAACCCGAAAGAAGGAGTAACGGAAGTGGGAGACCGCTCCCTCCAGCATGAGCGAACCATTCCGGAACTGGTTAAGAATGGGCACAACTATCCCAGCCCGGAGACCGGGAACGCCAATTAAATGCAAGAAAGAAAAGTAGTACATAAACAACGTCTTTTCTCAATCGTTAGCACGAATTGTCGAAAAGGACTCGATATGACAAGAAGAGGCAACAGACGCATGGAAAGTATCATACAACTAGAGCCTCCCAGCAATAAGGGTCTTACCTGGGAACAAGGACCTTGATGGTTTTAAGACACCGTAAGAAGTACAGGTAACACACAAAATCGCCAAAACACCATGCGACGTCAAAGGCAGTCAATCAATGCATTCCAAGGAAGAGAAATGCATCACCAAGCACTTGGTCACCAAAGGACTGAACAAAGAACGAGCGACAAGCGGAACTCCAAGAAAAAACCAAGAAGGCTTATCATTAATCAAGCAAGGCAAAGACAAAGTTGGCTTATAACCAACCACCCGGTGAAGGTGACGAGGTTGCTAATTGGAAACCGGACCCGACCTACTGAGCAAAAAGAACATGCGAGAGTCTTGACTCATCTATAACTCGTACCTAAGGATCAATGAAACTATACGATGGGCCACCCTAGGTATTCAAGTCCCTTCTATTGTACACATGGACATGGGGCTTGTCGGGACTTGAATCTGTGCATTCTTGGGATTTTTCCCGAAGGAATTCACTCTTCCTAGTCACCTTCCCGCGGGTCCCCAATGGGACCTTGACGGGTCCCCAACAGGAGCTTGGCAGGCGGACGACCGCCCACCTCGCGCCCACTGGTACAATGTGCTGATTTCTTAACTCCTCACTTTATTGATTCATGGCGCACTTGTGTGCCTCGATTGATGAACGCGAGTCTTGGGTAAAGAACCATGGGTCGCCCAAACATGGTGTCATCGGTAAAAGACCTTGACACGCAAGACACCACCGGAAAAGCACAACCAATTGCATTACACGTGGAGTTGAAGTTGGACTCTACGATGCAACCGACTAATTGGCATAAAGGATTGTGCAAACCAAGGAGGCAAGTTGGGAACTCGTGCTAAGGACTCACAAAGACCTTAAAAGTCAAAATGCTAAGGATGGACCGGGATTCCTTCAAACCATGGATATCGTTCAAGCAAATCAGAGGACTCCTTACAAGTTGTATGGAATCAAGAACTACGTAGTCCGTGGTGCTAGGCAAAAAAAAAAAAAGTAAAAAGCACATTTGTGCCAAGATCTCAAGGGTCATTAAGGACCCACAAGGAAATGAGATGACTCGTAAAGTCACCGAGTCAGTCCACAACGAGGTTAGGTAACCAACTGCGCTTCAAAAAGAAAAAGAGCATGCAAGGACACCTTCACCATTAAAAGTAACACGAAAAGGCACAACTAGTCGAACCTCGGGGAAGACATGAAGTCTTACTAAGAATTTCATTCACTAAAGAGGAGATGAAATTCAATAAGAAGGGAAAATCAACCCAAAGTTTACCGACTCCCAAGAAACTTTGGGAAGAATTTGGGAAGTGCGCCCTAAGAGATTGGCTTGGTTGACCAAACTTGGTCAAGACCTTGGACGCATTAAA